ACAGTTGGATTTTAAATTGGTGATGGAAAAGTACAAGCCCTAGGTTTGATTGGAACCTGGGCACGGATCCTATTTCTATACAATGGTTAAATCTTACCAGCAAGGTCAAGCAGTATTACAAAGAGAGGCATACTATCTGATATTCAAAGACTTTTTGACCCACTGGGATGGATCGCCCCTAGCTTAATTTTGGCTAAGATACTCATACAAAGGCTATGGCTAGAACCGATTGGCTGGGATGACGAGATTAACCAATCGCTGTTACACGATTGGCTGACAATTAGAGAAGACTTTGAACATGTAAAAGAGATGGGTATTCCAAGATGGCTAAACACAGTAAGCACACAGATGGAAAACATCGAGGTTCATGGTTTCAGCGATGCTTCCATGAAAGCTTATGCCGCGGTAGCTTACATTCGTGTGAAGAGGAAAGATGGTTCAGTATTCACCAATCTATTAGCTGCTCGTACTAGAGTGGCACCACTCCGTACCGTGTCTCTACCACGCCTGGAGTTATGTGGGGCGCTGTTATTAGCAAGGCTAGTTAAGCAAATAGAAAATGCAATGCGTATACCTACTTCTAACATCTATGCATGGACAGACTCATCAATTGTTCTTGCATGGCTATCTGGTGATCCTCATAGATGGAAGACATTCGTGGCGAACCGGGTCGTAGAAATTGTAGAGAATGTAAACACACACCGATGGTTCCATGTAGCTTCGGAAGAGAATCCTGCAGACATCGGGTCGCGAGGCATGCTGCTGGCGGACTTGAAACAGAAAGAGTTGTGGTGGACAGGGCCCAAGTGGTTATGCAAAAAAGAAATAATATACAGTAAGCCAGGAATAACGGAAACAGAATTAGAAATGAAACCAATAAAATTAAATACTTACCACAATGCAGAAGAATTAAAACCATTAACCGCTCGGTTTGAAGATTTTGATACGTTACCAGAATTACTAAAAACTATTATTTACTGTAAAAGATTTTTAAGATACAAAAGTAATTTAAGTACGAACAAGGAAATAACTACACAAGAATTAGAAGAGGCGCTTATCACATGCATTAAGTTAGTACAACAAGAATTCAAAGAAGAAAGAGATCGGCTAAGAGATAAGAAACAAGTTAGAAAAAAAAAGTAAATTACGATCGCTAAACCCATACCTGGATGAGAATCATATCCTCAGGGTGGGCGGTCGCCTTAAACATACTAACTTACCTGATGACCGAAAACACCCAATTATTCTTGGAAATAAGAACACCCTAGTACACTTGATCGTTGCTGACGCCCATATCAAGACACTACATGGAGGGGTTCAGTTAATGCTATGTTATCTCAGATCAAAATATTGGATCCTAAGGGCAAAATCAATAACAAAATTATGTCGTTTGCCGGTGGATTCCACTCGGTGAAAGGTCATCTTGTATTTTTGTCAAGATTCTCTACCAATGTCACTGTAGCAATATTATACTAAGTCGCAAGTTAAGCATATTGTATTATGATGTCTAGTATTTAAGCAACCTTTATTTCGTTTTGTAAAATATTGTTTTGAAGTCACCTTGACGTTGTAATTAGTGCAATAGATTTAGAAAGAACTTAGTAGTCCTTTGGTGGGCGGTATGTTGTTACTAACCTTATACTCTTTGCTAATTACGATATTTTTACTTGTCAAAATTTAAGTCAGTCGCATAAGTCGTTGCCAACCAACACAGTTATTGCTTTACGGATAGTGCCAAACCAAATTTGAGCCTTAATTACATATCATCATCTGCTTATCCATGGAAATAACGACCCACAACCTAATCTCTTACCCAGTAGAAATATCAGCGCCTAAGTACGTTACAACGAACGGATTAAATATAGAACGTTTCCTAAGGAAGCCCTCACTATAATATGTGTAAATATATATTATATATACTTTATGTTGTTTACTGGCATGTCGCGATTGTCACCTAAAATTGAGGGTGATGTCGTGTCCCCATGGTACCTTTTGTCAGTTTTTCAATTTTTTTTATTGATGATCACTTTGTTGGTGAACTAAATAAATAAATAAATTAAAACTATATATAAAAATAAAAGTAGTGCCAACCCTAGCAAATTTCTCATTTCGTCCCAATTAACCGCAATTTTCGGGTAAATAGGGATTACACCTATTTTTGCATTTTTTGCTTAAACTGGAATGCTAGTTGCATAATTTTAAATTAGACAACAAAGATGCCCCCAAGACTCAATCATTTTGATCCTGATATAGCATTATATACATCAACAACTACCTTAAAATTGCTCATAAAGTTGGAATTTGTCCCTAATCGCCCCATTTTACGGTACGTACTATCATAGATTGAG